GGAGACGAACCATGAGAGACGATGGACTCTGAGAAACAAACTGAGGGTTCTAGAGGGGAGGGGGGTGGGGGGATGGGTTAGCCTGGTGATGGGTATTAAAGAGAGCACGTACTGCATGGAGCACTGGGTGTTATGCACAAACAATGAATCATGGAACACTACATCAAAAACTAATGATGTAATGTATGGTGATTAACATAACATAAAATTAAATTAAAAAAAAAGAATTTCTCCCCAAAATCTCAACATGTCATATTATCTCAGTACAGGAAAGTGTTTCCTAAACATAATACATGCAATTTTCCCTTCATGAAAAATGAAGATTGTTTTCACAGGAGTAAACCAGCTTAGTAGTTTATTAGGTTTAATATTAATTGGAAGACATGATTTAAAAGATTTCTGTATAATTTTTCATTCCTTTGGACAGTAATACAATCTGATATTAATACTATAATTTCCTAGAAAAGTAAAAAGGATTTTCCCATAGGTAATTAAGATAAGCTCTCAAAATGAATCCCTGTTGAATCCTTTCATAGTTTTTTAAAATTTTATTTATCTATTTATTCATTCATTCATTCATTCATTCATTCTTTTTAAGTAGTCTCCATGTCCAATGTGGGGTTTGAACTCATGACTCTGAGATCAAGAGTCACATGCTCTACCGACTAAGCCAGCCAGGTGCCCCCTCATTTTTTCAGTTTTTAAAATTGATGTTCATGGGGTGCCTGGGTGGCTTAGTGGTTAAGCATCTGCCTTTGACTCAGGTCATGATCCCAGGATCCTGGGATCGAGCCCCACATTGGGCTCCCTGCTCCACAGGAAGCCTGCATCTCCCTCTCCCACTCCCCCTGCTTGTGTTCCTGCTCTCGCTATCTCTCTCTCTGTGTCAAATAAATAAATAAAATCTTTAAAATAAATAAATAAATAAAATAAAAATTGATGTTCATTAGTGTAAATGTGTTTGTGAATGTAGAGTTGACTTTGATATTTGCAAGGCATTTGTCCAGAGGTCTTTATGATTCCCCAAATTTAAAACAAACAAAACAACAGCAGCAAGAACAAAAATAAAACTCCATGGCTTAAAACTTGGTCTATGTAGACAAAAATCAAACTGCATAGAGAGAAGCAAAATACAAGAGAGCCAGAATCTTGACAGTTCCCCTGTACCCAATGTCACTTGCTTCCTGAAACCTGGCTGCCTTCCAGGTTTACCCACATAATAAATTCCCTCTTTAGCTTTAAGGTACTTCAAGTTGGTTTCTGTTACCTTCATCAAGAGTCCTAATACACGTAATTATGCTGAACATTTGGTAATATATATAATTCATTCCATTGTATGGACCCAGTGATTCTCAGTTAATCTTTTTGATATATTACTGGTATCATGGAGCTTTTGTGAAAGAAAGAACCTGAACCAATTGGATTCAATCTGACTTTTGCAAACAAGATTTCAGGACTGAAGGAGCCTACCAAGTAAGGAGCATCCCTTACAGAAGCCTGCCCCTTCTTATTTGGGTGGTCCACAGGTTACAATGTGCAACTAGATTTAGGTGAAA